GAGCGTTCCAGAGATGTTGGTGGAGGCGCCTCTCAGCGCCTGGCTCGGCTTGAATTGGTCCGGAGGTTCGAACCGCACAAGTGCAGAACTGGACAGCGCCCAGGCACCAAGCAACATGTCTTGGTGAAGGTTGCCAGCACTTCCAAGCAACCCTAGCAATTGAATCAAACCAAACCCAGGGGTTATTGCAGGTGTTCTCTTCTGATGTCCTAAAACTAACTCACTTACTGAGTTCATGACCTCTACACTTTTCGGAGAGACCATTGGAGTGGTAAATACAAAGTCTGGGACTTTCTTTTCCCATCCACTCAGGAAGTCAGAGGATGATCTTTACATCACCGTCTCAAAGCGCTGAAGTCAAGGGTCCCACCCGCAAGCTCACGGTGCCATGGGCCCATGGACAGCTTCAGGCACCTGGGGGTTCCACTGGGGGGGCCGGCCCCTGGGAGAAACGTGAGCCATGGACATCACAGAGGTTCCTATGTTCGCAGTAGGAATTTCGGTCGTTTAGATGGAAATAACAAATTGTTGCAGTGTTTTTTTGCTGCTGGGGCGTGAGTCCCAATTCTGGGCAGGGATTTCGGCACCTTTCTTTCTGTAGCCAGCAGATGGATGGCGTCTTGCATCATCAAGCGGGTCCTGTTGCCAGAAGTAGTGCCTTGTGTGACAGCCAAATGGTGACCCCAACTTGAATTGAAGGCTCATTATCCGTGGTCTTCCTGTAGTAGTGCCGCCTGTTCTATTTAGATTCGCTTTGAATTTCAACAAGCATGTTTGTTTTTCATACTGTATGTTTTCTAGCTCTTTGTGGTTGGATCTTCGGACTTAAAAACTGTTTGAGGAACCAGGAGATGTTTTTGTCCATTGGACCCAGACATGGTGTTCAACTGGGAGATGTTGTTTCCATTGGACCCAGAAATGGTGTTCTTAACTTTTGCGGAGTCGTTGCAGTGAGGTGGTTGATATCTGGGTATGGGTCAAAATAAACCCACCAGCAATTGGACCGCAGGTTTTAGTCTTTGGCAAGCCATTTCTCAGAAGCCATTTGGGGTTACCGCATTTTGGACCCACAAGCACCTTGTGCCTATGTTGAAACCCTCACGTAGGTTGCGCGCCCTGTGTCGCCAACGATCTAGGGCTTCGGCGTGTTTGACCCACAGCCATCTCTGGGAAGGGGACAGCGGCGCTTTGAGCCGCTGCGTTTTCGGAGGCCCGGCCTGGGAATCCAGAGCTTGCAGCAGCGGCTGGCGGAGGTGCGGGCCCAGCGGCAGGCAGGGGGCGCTGGCGCGCCCCGGGGGGGGTGGGGGGTCGCCCCCTTTAGTTGGTTTTTTAAGGGGGAAACAAAAGGAAAACCACCATGTTTGGGGGTCTCCTGAAAAAGCACACACCCATGTGTTGTTTATTTGTTGGAGTTGCGCTGGTGGGGGGGGGGCTGTTCTTTGTTTAAGCTGGCGGGGCAGGAATGTCCTGGCATAGTTTGAGGATGGGGAGAGGGCTATGGGATCTCTGTTTCCAGAGCATCTAGTGCAAGCGCACGATAGATCCCTGCGCCGAGACTGCTTGAAGTCAGCTCTGCAAGGCTTTTAGGCCGCTTGTGGGTCACAGGGTATCGGAGCAATACAGAGGTGCACGCAAGCCCCGGTTGGTTGGGGCTATGGCGCTGGCGGCGCTTTTGTCTTCATAACTCTCCAGGGATGCACAGCTGGGGGCCGTATGGCGTCGATTCGACTTGAGCTCCTTGTCAACTGTTCCCCCCAAATGGTTTTCAAAATACAAAAAAATACAAATTCTGAATTGACAAACTTCTGAATTGACAAACTTCTGAATTGACAATTCGGATGGTTCCCAATGTTTCCCAACTTCTGAATAGACAAAATACACTTTGCACCGGTTGGGATGGATGAAGCCTTATGCATGCTGGTTGATGAACCACCTGCCAACTGGAGGATTTCGACCATCAACAGTTGGTTCAAACATAGGTGTGTCTTTTTTGGAGGGTATCCTTTTCACCTTGGCTTGGAGGGAGACCAGAAGAAGAATCACCCTTTGGTGGGAGGGCCATTTTGCAGGTGGTCTTCTTCAGGGGGTAACTTGGGAAACCCCTATGCTTCAGGTGAGCCTTCATTGGTGGTTTGGATTGCTGGCTTTGGGGACTTGAACCCTGCTTCTTCTTGAGGGTCCCCACCAAACCACCAGGCTGAGCATTTGGACGCATAGTTGTTTTAAGTACTGAAGTTGAAATTGTTTGATGATAAAGAACTAGGTCCCCCAGTAGCGCCCCGTTACCGTTCTTTTTTGCGGGGAGGGTTCCCCTACTAAACTGGACTACCGAGAAAGAAAATAAAAATGAGTACCCTTATTCTAACCTCCCTACTGGAGGACCTAGACAACAAAACTACAACAAATCTTAAGAAACCATTTGTTGATTAATCAAAAACAAAAGAGAACAAATAAAGTAATACTACTACTCATAATAACAATAATAATTATAATGATGATGATAATAATAATAATAATAATATGTAAAAAAAAAATCTTTCCCGCAGGCTGGGCTGGAGGCGCGGGCGCCCTTGGGCTCCAAAGCGCCTCCCCTGCCGGAGCTGGGCGCGCCCAGAGGCTCGCTCGCTCGGCTCCGCCCGATCGTTCGATCGCTCGGCACAGGATTGGAACAGGGGGGTTTTCTCTCAGTTCCTGAGTTCATGGACTTTCTACTTTTTGGAAAGACCATTTTTGTTGTAAACGCAAAGTTTGGACTTTTTTTGGGCCATCCACTCGGGGGTGAGTTCTTGCTTAGGGCTCCAGAAAAAATATTCAGCTGGGAGATGTTTTTTTTCTCCCATTGGACCCAGACACGGTGTTCAGCTGGGAGATGCTGTTTTTTCCATTGGACCCAGACATGGTGTTCCACATTCTTTTTGCGGAGCCGTTGCAGCGGTCAGGTGTTTGATATCTGCTTTGGCAGGGCTCCTTAAGAGATCTCCATTTTGCCACCATTTGAAACATGTTGCTTTTGCAACACCAAAATAAAGGGAAACCACCATTTACAAGGCAATGTTCAGGTGTAAAGTGTAAGGATCATTGCTGGTGCGATACAGGGGTCATTATTTTGACGGTTTCTGGGGGTTAGTAATGAAAGTCAGACATGGGGTTGTTTCTCTTCAACCCACCACTTTGGGGGTGACTTTGACCATGGCAATTTAAATAAGGCCAGCGAGAGGTCGGGAGTGTGGTTGAATGTTCCCCTTAAAGGAAACCAGCAGTTGGAGGGTTTTTGTTGGGTGGCATTCCATTTCTCATTCCCGAGAACCTGCCAGCTTGGGGGTCCAATCTCATTCATTTTGACACCATAGGTGTTCCATGGGAGTACTTTTGTGGTTTCCCTCACCGTAGGTCCCGAATCTGGAGAAACACCCAGCACAAGGAGAGGCTGGATGGCATCCAAACACATCTAGGTTGAAACCGGTTTGGCAGCATGGGTTTATCGGTACATTTGTGCTTCAGTCTTTCGTCTGAAGCATGATACGCAATATTAGCTTAAGCACAGCAACGTATCTATGACTCCGGAGTTTGGAGAAAGCGAAGCCGACTTCAGTTGCTCAACCTGCGGAAACATATATTGGACTTGAAGAGGCGAGATTATGCTACTGGACTTCAAGGTTCAAAATGAGCCTTCGGACTGTTCAGCAAGGTTCAAGAGTAGGATTGACGTTTAATCACGCGCTGTGCAGGTTCCTTTGGTGCATTTTGCTTGGATGTTAGGACTTTAACTTTTTGCAAACTAATGGGTTTTCCATTAATTCACTTCAGGTTAAACTTTTAGCAGGGGAGCAGATTTCGCAACCGAGGTTCGCAGGGAGACCCGACCTACAAGATACGTATCGCAGCCTTTGCCAGCTTCAGGACCGCGAGAGCCGGAGCTCGAGGCAGGACCAGCTGCCTGCGAGTTGCTTTCGGTTGTGTTTGTGCCATTACTTTGTTTCATTATATACGGCAAATTGTGTTTTCTAATTGTTTTTCTTTACTTCAGCAAAATGCTTCAAAAAAGCAAAAAGCGCATTGATTTTCACTTAGCTTTTGAGGGGGGGCAGCTTGCGGCATGCCTCGCACAGCCACATGTCCATATGTTTACCGCGTTCTTTCCGAATCCCGTGGTCCCAGGCTAAGGCGGAACGCGGACATGAGGTGCGCTTGCGGGGTGTCGGCCTATGAGCTCAGATGTCATATCTTTGCGGGAACCTTTTTTTTTGCGGGTTGGTTACAGGGAAACCCGCAAGGGCCCAGCTTTTTTTGGGGGGGAGGGGGGGTCCCTATTTCAAGACACGCCCATATGGTGGCTATCAAGCTTCCGACAGGCGTCTCCAAGGGCTAAGGCAAGGAATCCGCTCTAGAGCGGCCACCATTCTAATGGTTTCAAGATGCAGCCCCACAGCAAATGTACGTGGCCGCACGGCAACACGCAATGTCTCAGGATTTGCAAGTGTTATTCAACTGGGCTGGAACTTCGGCTAATACCTTTAGCTTGGAACATGCAGGACTATATTTGAAGGATTCATGATGGTTTAGTATAAATGTTTGTCACATGCCGCCATATGCCGCCAACTTCCCTCATTTCCCCCAAGGCCATGAAGTTGACGAGATGCTTGTTCCGGCCTTTTCTGGGTGCATTCACCAATGTCGCACGCCGAACATCCCGACAGGAACCTTTGGACCTCTCGTTTGAGCCAGGTACAAAAGACGTCCGACGTCGAGGCCGGGCATTAGAAGCCGCACGTTTGCTTTGATGCGCACCACTGGTTAGTGGATTTGTGTATTGCTTTGTGATGTTGTTGCCTCTACCACACAGTAGTGGAAAGGAAAAACACGGGCACCCACACACACACACACACACACACCGTCCCCCGAAAGATGCATCTTTGACTGCTTTGGCTCTGCCATCATATTCGCCTCAAGGTTCGTGAAGGAGAAATGCGCATGATATTTAGGCATTCATCTTTCATCTTCTTTCCCTCCCACGTCCTTTCCTGGGAAAACGGGATGATAGGCCTCAAGCTCGTGCCATGGCTTCTTGTGACGGTGCGCGGAGACCCGCGAGCCGATCCGACCTTGAAGGGCATGCTGGCCAAGATCCAGTCCGGGGAGTTCGAGAACAACTTCTTCGACGGGGAGGTCTTGGAATCCACGCCCGGCAGCGAGAAGGAGGCCACCGCGGGCTGCTTGCTGGACAAGGTGGGGGCCATTGTGGAAGAGAGACCGGGGCTCAACATGTGCTAAACGTGTTTTTGTTTTTTTGGTTTCAAAGGAACAAATACATGTACGTACACCATATTATATATGTATATTAAATGATATATTTAGATATCGACACACCACGTATATGAATATAAACAAATCACTACAAATGATAGGTTTGCTTTTTGCACATACGACTGAGGAAGGGGGTGCAGGAGTTTGTGAATGACCTGCAGGTGGATTTGGCTGCCTGCTGCACTAAGGATGCCGCGGATTGCTTTGTGGATGTAGAGCCTGCTTACAAACTGCTGCAAGAGGTGAACTCTGGAGCAGGCGATGCGAAGCACGCCCCCAAGGTGCATGGCCAGTGAAAAAGTTTGGCCGTTTCTGGAGGGATGAGAAATCTACTGGTGTGAGTTGAGCCAATTCCCTCAGATGATTGATTTCCTTTTAGTTCACCTATGGAGGCTACCCCCTCGTTTTGAGCGACACCGAAATCGGGGAAGGATTTGCATAGACATATTGTCCAACGGAAGGCTAAATGCTTGATAGCATGTGAGTATTTGGCTGATTGTTGCTGTACCTGCAAACATATAGAGGATAGTCAGGATAGTCGCCACTTGTTTTTTGTTTTTTTTTTAGAAACGACGGGTATGTAAGATGGTCAAGTCAGCGTGGCTCAGGTGGCAGCCATTCTGATGAAGGCGATTGAGAAGCGAGTCACCGCTGGGCAGGTGAAGAAGAGCCACAAGTCGTATTTTGGCAAGTGCCCAGATATCGAGCAGTGCACCCTAGAGAAGTTCCAATACCCTAAGGAGCTGTGAGTTACGTGGGCCGGTTCGAGACAGGCGAAAACGCCAACATACCAAATGGTTTGACGCGGAAAAGTGCGGCGCAACTCTCGGGCCAAGGCCATCTAAACTGCGTGGTTTAACAAGGCTGGGGTTTCCCCTTTTGGATGGGTTCAAAGGCAAGAGGACACCACAAGCCACCAAGCAGGTCTCCGAGTTGGAGACACGCAGCAGCACTGACTGGGTCCTGCAATAGCACAAATATCATGGAGGCAAGCCCTTGGGTCTTGGATGAAATCCCGCGCGTTAGGCGCTCACAAGAGTTCCACAGAAATGCTCCCCCTTTTTTGGCTTGAGGTTGTAAATAGAGGGGTCCAAGACACCCCGAAATATACACCTTGTAGGTCCCTAGTTGAGGATCTACTCCGATGCAGAATCGATTTATTACTGGAAGAGGTCGAAGGCCAAGTATGTAAGCAGTGTTTGGTTTCCTGATCTTCTGATAGCTACAAGTGTGCACACGCCTTGAGCCAAAATATGGCAGGCGGATTGCATCATGAGTGGGATACTGTGAATCAAGCACAGAACAAAAGAGAAACACCCCCCCCCGACCCCCCCACACAGAATCAGACATCGTCACTCGACCCAAATCTTGTGCTGGTCTTGGTGTGAACTTAGCCCCCACAGACCTGTTGCAATCACGCTTTTCCGACTGAACCTTCAATAGCTTAGGTTTCCAGAAGGGGACAGCATCTACGAACACGCCTGGATGTTCGTTCCCAATCCGCCAGGGCGCCCGAAGCGCGTTGCTGGAGACAGCTCACGAGGTGCGTCTCTCGGAGGTGCGGCTCGAGAGATGCACCGCTGTAGCCAATAGCTAGCAAAGCAGATGCCCTCTTGCCAATAGATACAGTGGATGGGCGCAAAATCCGTTCGCGCGGGAAATGAAACCATGGTTGTAGCCATTTTGTGGTGGATGTGCAGGAGAATCATCAGAACCAGGGTTTGTTAGGTGGTGTGAAATGGATTTCGTCCGTCCGCAGTGTCACATCTGACAGCCGACTTCCCCAGATTACAAGTAGATGGTCGGGCATCTCTACTTGAGCTTCTTGTTTGAGTGGCTGGTGGGCAACCCTGGAAATAGCTGGACAGATTACAGCGTCCTTGAAAGGCAAAAAGGCCATTTTGAGGCTACTTTCTTGTGCAGGGGCGTGAATTTGAATGGGGGATGGACATCAGAATTCGGTCGTCATGTCCACCAACGAGCTTGGAGGTGGTTCGAAATTGCTTTCCTTGGCAACAACTGGCTGGGAGCAGTGCTTTGGGCCGACCGCTGCACATCCAAGGCAACCGGGAAGTGGAAGTGAACCCGATTTTGAGCGCAAAGCCCTGAAACCGAATACCGGCGGTTCGCTGGGATCGGCAGGCACCGTTTGACAAGGCGTCTCAGCCGGTCGACAGGCGGGAGTGTTGGAGTTTGGAATGGTTGGACTATGGGCATTTGTCGAGTTTGGGAGACATCCTGTCAGTGATGTGGACATAATCTGCCAACCACACAAGTTGTAGTTGCTCTCAGGCACGCTGACTAAGATCGTGCTGATGTACAGGCGTTGCTCATGGTGCTTCATGTGTGCTCCAGTGAGACATGTTGAGCAAATCTGAACAGGCATGGTAACAAGAGACAGAGTTGTGGATGAAAGCCACGCCTCAGCCAATACTAGTATATATTCGTGTCCAGCCAGGGTCTGAGACGAAAAAGCAATCATGCGGGTAGATATTTGCCCATGCAACACAGAACACTGCAGTAGTTGTGTCCTTTTTAGCTTGAGGAAACGGATACTCAGAGCTGAGAATTTGTTCGTTTGATGGGCCTCCCGAATGGTATGTGACTTTCTGAGGTCAACATGTAAACCACCTGGTTTCAGTTCCTCAACCATGAAAACTCAGTCTTCAAAATGTCATGTGTCTTAAAAATCGATTCGTGCTCGTTGTTGCAGAGTTCTGGTGTTGAGCATGAAAGGTCGTGCAGGTCTGGAAAAACCTCGGCGCCAATTTGGGATGGCAGCTTTGGCAACTCAGAATTGGTGTTGACAGGCCAAATCTGTTCAAGTGGACTTGTGGCGTGAACTGTACTCTGTGTGTCTTCCACATGCAGCTTGACTCTGGTTTGCTTTTGGGTCAACTGCAAGAACGGGATTTATGTCCGACCACTTTTGAGGGGGCAGAATACAATTCATCGCTTGCCGGCTAGGTCACCAAACCGCGAGGCTTCTCCTCGTGAGCCCGTCGAGGGCTCGGCGCAAATGATGTTTTCCCACATGAGAGAAGTTACCCATGTTTTGTTTTTTTTTCGCGGGCCAGGACGATTGATGAACCCCCATACACCGCCGGATTTTTAACTTCTAAGGGATCAGAATCCACACCCATTCTCCCATGCTTAGGTCAGCTGGCTTCGACGAGGCTTCCAGGGAATCTGGAGACGTCAGGGGCTCATAGGTTGGCATTAGGTGCATGATTCCTTTAACAAGTCAACGCGGGCAAGGGACAAGCGTTCAATCCCCAGCTCAACATGGAAGCCACTCATATAGGAGCCCAGTGTGTGTGTGTGTGGTTTTGCATGAGTTGCAGCCCTGATACAGCATTTGACCCTCTTGTTCCTGGTGATCAGGAGAGTGCAATCAGATATGGTTGTGAATTTCTAAGTGGGGACCCTCCGGACATCATTTAGGGATGATTTCTCCACCAACCCCTTTGCAGGGCCCCGACTTGTTTGGTTTACCGGCTGTTGAGTGAGAACTTGCTGACCAGCATATCGATTTTCACAAACCATGCAAACAAGTTTGTAAGAATGCTCCAGTCGGCTTTGTGCAAGAGAGGTGTTGCATTGGCACGGAGGTATCTTGGAATTTGTCTCAGCAACCTGTGGACCAACACTTCCAGGTTGGACCTTTTCAAACTAGCGGTTTTCTTTTTGGGTTCCTTCAGCACCTGCCAGAAAAGCCCCCCCCCCCCAAAAAAAAAAAAAAGAGAGAGAAGAAATGCAAAAACAACACCCATATGGCTGTGGTTGTCAAAACCAATGGTACCATTTTGGTTGGTAGGTAAATTCACCACCCATGTTAGAACCTATTTTAGTGGTTGGATTGAATCGGATGTTCACGTACGATTTGGATTTTGATCGGCCATAACATTGGGCCTCTGAGCCTTCTGCCAGTCGATGGCCGCGCCCCCCTAGACGAGTCTCTCGAAAACGGCTCCATAGACGAGGCGTCTCGGATCTTCGTGTTCGTCGAGTCGGTCGCGTCAAGACACGCGATGAATGGGGCCACAAATGGGGCCCGCATCTCTTTGGAGAACCTGGTTTTGGCTCAAGATGAACATTTTGAAGGGGGCGCTTCTTCGAATTGGCAAACTGGCATCTTTGTTCACGTGCCGTTGGCTTAGGGTTGCACTTCGCCACATTTTGTGACGCTCTCCAGAAGCTCCGTAGACAACTGCAGGCGCGCATGTCGGCCAGCGGCGACATGGACTCGCTGCGCAGCGAGAACCACTTGCTGACCGAGAAGCTGGCGGGGTCTGTCGGGCGATGGGGGGCATTGACGCGGACGTCCTGAAAAAAGGACGTGTTGGCTGTGAGTCAAGAATATAGGTACCCAAGATGGCACCCTGGTAAATGGAAACGATGACTAAAACCTGTGGTCCCCTGGTGGTTTAATTTTGACCCATACCCTGTTGACGAACGAGAAACGATCAACGCGACAGGAAGGGAAGTTACTTCAATGCTCACACGGGATGAGTACAAGTCATGAAACGCATGGACAGACGTCTCGCAGGATTGGCCAGGGGTGTAATGGTCATTGATCAAATGTGTTCATGGGACCTATTCTTGAACTGCTCGGCATATCCCCTCAGACATGAGTCGCCATTCCGCTCAGGAGTTGCATAGCGCATCAGAAACCGTGCTCGCATCATATCGGTATGTGAAGCATCATCAAGGCATAGTGCCTGACTCTTGCCCAGCGCCCAGTGCAACCATGCATCACGGAGCCCTGAGGCATTTCGGCGGCCCGGGATACAAAGTAAGTCACCGCAAGACCACGGTGAGGCTTGTGGTTGCCTTCGGGGAATCCTCAAGCCGGCATTCACGCGACGATCTTCAGGGAAGCAACGCAACAGGTACGGTTGAGACCTTAGGAAGCCGAGATTGAGAAAATCGAGTTGGCCGTTGGATAAAGGCAAAAACAACCCGCGAGTTGTTGGTCAAGGCTGCAAGCGTCCTTGCAAGGACAGATGATATGTGCTCACGAAGGACCCCACAAGAATGCTTCCGTGATCATGTGGAATTGCTGCTTGCGAGTTGTTTGGCTTGAACTTGAGCCTTTTACGTTGCTCACCTTTTTCCAGTTTGGAAAGGCAAACGAAAGCCATTTGGGTCCCCTATTTTGACACATACGGGTATTTAAAGTTAATGGGGGACCCGCGGATTTACGTCCACCAACCACTATTGAGGTGGGTCCGACTGTTAAAAATAATGAGCTTTTTACAGGGAACCCACAGGAACACTGAATCCATTTTTTGGCGGGTGGGGGGGTGGCAAATCCCTTTGCTGCATAGCATAAGGGGCTAAACAATCACTGATCGTTTGCTCCCATGAGTACCTCATTATTCTTACAGTTTGTTCCTTCACATTGGTCTCCACACAGGGTTTCCCCCTAAACTTGCTGATTTCCCTTTCATGTCCCTCAAGTCCAAATGGGTACCGAGCCTCACAAAAACCTTCCCCCCCCCCCCGCTCCACCGGGGACGGCAGGTGGAGGCCTCGCTGCAGTCGGCCAAACACTTCGAGGCCCTTTCCTCCAACCGCGACGAGTTGCGGCGCCAGCTGCAGGACCCGTCTGCCAGCCTAGTGCCAGCCTCGAAACAGTCATCGCGAGTCGCGAGTTTCTCGATACGGGAGGAAGGTTGGGGGACTCCTTTTCGGGGGAGTCGGTGGTGGGGATCTGTGTTTTTGTTCCTCAACACACGGGAAAACCAGTTATGCTCAGTTTGGTTACCCAAGTTTTGGAGGCTCAAAATGGTTCAAGGTGTTAAGAC